TGGTTTTTGATGGTTTTTTGCCGTTTTTCGCCTCAGGGCGCCTGATTTTCGACAATCTGAAGAAATCGATCGCGTACACGCTGACCAGCAACATCCCCGAGATCACCCCGTTCCTNATCACGGCCAAGGCCATCGCCAAGGGCGTGGGGATCATCTCCGAGGGCAATGAGACCGTGGAGGACATCGCGGCGCGGCTCAACATACCTGTCAGCCAGGTGAACCCCAGGTGAGTCACACCTGAACATCCCTGTGAGCCCCAGATCAGCCAGGTGAGACATACCTGTGAGCCAGGTGAACCCCAGGTGAGTCACACCTGAACATACCTGAACATCCCTGTGAGCCAGGTGAACCCCAGGTGAGTCACAGGTGTGACAGGTGTGACATAGCCAGGTGTGACATTGTGGCACAGCTGAACATACCTGTCAGTCAGGTGAACCCCAGGTGAGACAGAGACAGGTGTGACATCCTGAACATACCTGAACATCCCTGTGAGCCAGGTGAACCCCAGGTGAGACAGAGACAGGTGAGACAGGTGTGACATAGCCAGGTGTGACATCGCGGCGCGGCTCAACATACCTGTGAGCCAGGTGAACCCCAGGTGAGACATTCTGAACATCCCTGTGAGCCCCAGATCAGCCAGGTGAGACATCCCTGTGAGCCAGGTGAACTCCAGGTGAGTCACAGGTGTGACATCCTGAACATACCTGAACATCCCTGTGAGCCAGGTGAACCCCAGGTGAACCCCAGGTGAGACACAGATAGGGGAGACACAGTCAGGTGTGCCCCAGGTGTGACATAGCCAGGTGTGACATCGCAGCCCAGCTGAACATCCCCGTGAGGCAGGTGAACCCTAGGTGTGACATAGCCAGGTGTGACATTGCGGCACGGCTGAACATCCCTGTGAGCCAGGTGTGCCCCAGGTGAGTCACACCTGAACACACCTGAACATACCTGAACATCCCTGTGAGCCAGGTGAACCCCAGGTGAGACACAGATAGGGGAGACACAGATAGGGGAGACACAGCCAGGTGTGCCCCAGGTGTGACATCCTGAACATCCCTGTGAGCCAGGTGAACCCCAGGTGTGACATAGCCAGGTGTGACACAGGTGTGACATAGCCAGGTGTGACATTGTGGCACGGCTGAACATCCCTGTGAGCCAGGTGAGATACAGCCAGGTGAACCCCAGGTGAACCTCACACCTGAACACACCTGTGAGCCAGGTGTGACACAGGTGTGACAGAGACAGGTGTGACAGGTGTGACATAGCCAGGCGTGACATTGTGGCACGGCTGAACATCCCTGTGAGCCAGGTGAGATACAGGTGAACATACCTGAACACACCTGTGAGCCAGGCGAACCCCAGGTGAGCCAGGTCACCCATTTTTGGGTTCCTTTTACTGTTTTTGGTGTAAATTGTGCTGGTTTTGGTGCTCCTGCGCCGTTTTCAGGTTCCTGCACCATTTTTGGGATAAATCCCACTGATTTTGGGCTGAGTCCTGTCGTTTTTGGGGTAAATCCCTTTCTTTTTGGGTAAATCCTCTTCTTTTTGGTTTACTGCACCATTTTGGGGTAAATCCCATCAATTTTGGGGTAAATCCGTTTCTTTTTGGGTAAATCCTGTTCTTTCAGGATTCCTGCACCATTTTCGGGGTG